GTGACCGCCAACCTTATTCGGCGCTGTCGCCACCGCAGTGGCAACCCTCGACTCGGCCCTTCTGGACACCCTGGGTGTATCATCAGAGCTAGGGACAAATCCAAGGGTCAAGATCCAGGTCCATCTCGGTGTCTTTGGCATCTTTCATCCCTCTGCAATCACCGCTGGCAGCAGTGCCACCTACACCCCTACCTTCACCTGCAGCGCTGGCACTGACTCTTCCGACATCGGCACTGCCGGCATTGTGACCCCCTGGGCACTGAGGGGAGTGAGTAGGGCCCATTGCCAAGACTTTCCTCCTCATCCTCCCCAGATGAAACCATGGCGGGGACATGGGTCCTGCAACAGCTGCTGCGACAAGTGGCCCAAAGCCTGGGAATCCAGGCAGAGGAGGTGGAAGAGGACGCTGACCCGATGGTTGACATCCTCGCCCCCTCCAGACCCTCTCGTATAGCCTTGCCATTAATAAAGACTATTGCCGAGATCACAAAGACCTTGTGGCAGACCCCGGCCTCTATGTCCCCTACGGCCAAGAGAAATGAGAGGTGGTACTTTATCCCTTCAAAGGCATACGAGCACCTATATACTCCCGACCCCCCCAATTCCCTGATGGTTGATGCAGCTAACCAGCGTGAGCTCTAGGGCCATCGGGGCCCTCCTCTTAAAAATAAGGATGCTAAAAGACTAGACCTTTTGGGGAGGAAAGACTGCTCCACTGGGGAAATGCAGCTCGCATTTCGAACCAGCAGGCCATTGTTAGCAGATACTCGCATAACACTGGCGGCGCGATGACCAAATTTGCAGAGCTGCTGCTGCAGAACTTGCATGCGGAGTTCTTGGCACTGGTGGAGGAAGGGAAACTAATTTCTCGGGCTTCCCTACAGGCCGTATTGGATGCGGCAGACCTGGCCTCCCGCACAACGGCCACAGGGGTTGCAATGAGGAGGAGTTCCTGGTTGTAGGTCTCTGGTCTCCCCTATGAGGTACAACAAACCATCCAGGACCTCCCCTTCGAGGGTTCGGCCCTATTTTCTGATAAAATGGACAAAAAACTCCACAGTCTAAGGGACTCAAGGGCCCTCCTCAAGTCCTTGGGCCTCCACATGCCTGCCACTCAGCGCAGGCACTTCTGGCCTCAGCCTCCCTCATAGTTCTACCAACTGCAGAACCAGCAGGACGCTTCTCGGAGGAGGAATAGGAGCGGCAGGAAAAGACAGCACCAGTCCTTGGGCCAGGGCTCTGGCCAGCCCAAGCCACCTCCTGGCCCAGACCGGCCTTTTGAGCGTGCGGTCAAGGACGGTGCACCAATACAAGAACTGGATCTACCGCACCTTACCTTTTCGTCCCAACTATCTCCTTTCTACCATGCATGGTCCAGTATCACGCACGGTAGAGAGGGGATACTCCATCCAATTATGTGCCCTCCCGCTCTTCCAACCCCCTTCCCCATCCCTCCTCAGGGACCCCTCTCACGAGCAAATCCTTATTCAGGAGATGCACTCGCTTCTCTCTCTAGGGGCAGTGGAAGAGGTTCCTCCGGAGCGAAGGGGCAAGGGTTTCTACTTCCGGTATTCCCTAATACCAAAAGCCAAGGGTGGGCTCAGGCCCATCCTACACCTGCGAGAACTCAACAAGTTCATGCAGAAGCTCAAGTTCCTCATAGCCTCTTGGGCCTCCATTATCCCCTCACTGGATCCAGGAGACTGGTATGCCAACATCGACTTGAAGGACATGTACTTCCACATAGCAATAATTCCGCCCCACAGAAAATACCTCAGGTTTGTGGTGAACAACAACCACTATCCGTTCACTCCTCCGTTTTGGCCTGTCAGCGACTCCTCGAGTGTTCACCAAGTGCATGGCAGTCGTGGCGGCGTCCCTGCACAAGTGGCAGGTAGAGGTGTTCCCATACCTCGACAACCGGCTGGTCAAGGGCCGCTCCAGGTCTCAAGTGGAGGCGTAGGTCGGCTTCCTGAGAATGACGTTTGGCGAACTGGGTCTCCTTCTAAACGAAGGGAAATCAGCGCTGTCCCCTGTTCAGAGAAAAGAGTTCATAGGGGCAGTACTGGGCTCGACACAAGCCAGGGCATACCTCCCAGAAGCGAGGTTTCGGTCCCTGGGCAACATCACCTAGCAGGGAGATGTGTATCAGTCCTGACAGACAACACCACGGCAATGTTTTGTATCAACAAATGGGGATGCATGCTCCTCTCTCCTCTGCCAGGAAGCTTTCATGCTGTGGGACTTCTGTGTAGAGCACTCGATACACCTCCAAACATTGTACCTCCTTGGAATACAGAACGAGCTGGCAGACCATCTCAGCAGGTCGCTTCATGGCCACGACTGGTCCCTTTGCCCGGACATAGTAAACTCAGTTTCCATCGGTGGGGTTTTCCCCAAATAGACCTGTTTGCTACACAACGCAACAGGAAGTGTCAGCAATTCTGCTCCTTCCTGAGTCACAGCCTGGGCTCCATCACGGACACGTTCCTTCGCCCATGAGGAGCCGCGTTCCCGCCTGTCCCTCTCGTTCACAGGATGCTCCTCAAGATTCGGAGGGACCGAGCTTTAGTAATATTGATAGCTCCGCCAGCACTGGTACACATCACTCCTGGAAATATCCGTGGAAACCCCGGTCACCCTGCTGCTCTTCCCGGACTTAATAATGCAGGATCACAGCCACCTCCAACATCCAAACCTCGAGTCGCTCCACCTCACAGCGTGGAAGCTCCATGGCTGAACTCAGTGGAGCTCTCTTGCTCTGATTAAGTCAGACAAGTTCTTCTTGGTAGCAGGAAACCCTCCACGAGAGCTACCTATCTTTCCAAGCGGAAGAGATTTTCAATCTGGTCTGTGCAGCATCTTCCATCCCCGACGCTTGCGTCAGTGCCACTTATACTGGACTATCTTTTCCCTCTCAAGCAGCGGGGACTGTCCATGTCATCAATAGGGGTTCACTTGGCCACCATCTTCACCTTCCACCCAGGCACAGAGGGCTGCTCAGTCTTTGCAAACCCAATGGTCAGACGTTCCCTTAAAGGTCTGGACAGGTTATTCCAGCAGGTCCAACAGCCTATCCCGGCTTGGGACCTCAATCTGGTCCTTTCCAGACTTATGGCATCACCATTTGAGTGCTTGGCGACGTGCTCCCTGCTCTATCTCTCATACAAGGTGGCGTTTCTGGTAGCGATAATCTCAGCTAGGAGGGTGTCTGAGCTCAGGGCCCTAACATTAGAGCCCCCTTACACTGTATTCCATAAAGACAAGGTTCAGCTCAGGCCTCACCCGGCTTTTCTCCCAAAGGTTGTCTCCCAATTTCATGTCAACCAGGACATTTTCCTCCCTGTATTCTACCCTAAGCTGCACTCCAGCACCAGGGAGCAAAGGCTTCTCTCACTGGGTATCCGCAGTGCGCTAGCCTTCTATATCGAGAGAATGAAGCCGTTCAGAAAATCGGTACAGTTATTCGTGGTAGTAGCGGACAGAATGAAAGGTCTTCCTGTCTCCTCAACGTATCTTGTCATGGATCACGTCATGCATATGGGAGTGCTACCGCTTGGCAAAGGTGCCTGCTCCTTCAATCACTGTGCACTCCACCAGGGCTCAGCCCTCCTCAGCGGCATTCCTGGCGTAGGTTCCCAACCAGGAAATCTGCAGAGCAGCAATGTGGTCCTCCATACACACTTTTACCACGCAATCACCCAGCAAGCCAGAGACAATGCGGCCTTTGGGAGAGCGGTGCTACAATAAGTGGATGATTCTGACCCCACCTCCTAAACTTGGGCTTGTGAGTCACCTGGTTGGAATGGACATGAACAAGCACTGGAAGAAGAAAAAACGGTTACTCACCTTCTTGTAACTGTTGTTCTTTAAGCTATGTTGTTCATGTCCATTCTAATACCCACCCTCCTACCCCTCTGTCGGAGTAGCCGGCAAGAAGGAACTAAGGGGGTGGTGGGTCGGCAGGGCTATATATTGGGCACCATGAAGGCGCGACTCCAGGGGGCGCCCAGGCTGACCCTATGGATGCTGCTAAGGGAAAAATCTTCCGGCTGGTGTGCACATGGCGCGCGCACACCTGATTGGAATGGACATGAACAACACATCTCAAAGAGCAAGTTACGAGAAGGTGTGTAACCATTTTTTTTCTACATGCCAACTGGTATAATCCCCAGTAGTCAAAGATGTGTGGTCAGGTTTTCAAAAGTGTTCAGCAGTTACAACTGGAGACAGATTTTCACGGAAGCTGCTTGGTGAAAATCCATGCACTTTATTTAGGTACCTATATGGAAGTGGAATTCTGAAAATTTGGCCCATAATGCCCAGAAAGGAGCTCTGCTCTGTGTGCTGTGTGGGTGTGTCTGCAGCTTGAAATCTATTGGAACGGTATTGCAGAATAAGTATTCATAATAAAATAAGCCCTCATCCCCAGGAAATCCAAGGGTTATGTACTGAAATTGTCGGGCATAGTGCTAGGTATGTATTGAAACCTTTGAGTCCAGTTTTGCCTGCAAAGCATAGTTAGCATGTTCTGCAACCCACAAATCATGAAACAATGAAAGTGTTACCATTAAAGGGCATAATCTGCTACAAAACATACAGACAAGTTACAGACTTTGATCAACTCTAACTCCTTTTCCTTGACAGCTTAAAAGAAAAATACTTGGACCAGAAGCCAGAACTATGGCCCCTTCTTAAAACGTCAAAAATTATGGATTGCCAGATCTGTAGTTAGCTCAACAAATGTACATGTCAGTGTTGCAAAAATGAACCTGTAATTTGCATTCAGTAAATATTTTTTTAAAAATGTAAACAGTGACATCATCAGGAAATACTCCTGTAAGTCCTGAATGGACACAAGTAGTGGGGTTTTTATGGCTGTTGATGTCATGTCTCTGGATGTGGCAAAGAGCTGGTCTAGGTCACTTTTTTGGGGGGGGGAGGGGTTTTCTTCTCTGTATACCATGGAGGTTTCTGATTCTTGATGCCTCTTGTTCCAGGGCACTGAAGGAGCCTAAAGAGTTGAACTTCATCTTCGGGGTGAATATCGAACAGCGGGATTTGGATGGCATGTTCATCTATAACTGCAGTCGGCTGATTAAGATGTATGAGAAGGTCGGCCCACAGTTGGAGGGTGGCATGTGAGTTCCTTTCAGAAATCTTCAGAGTTCCCTTTGCTTAGGACCGAAATTGGCTTGTACACCAGAGCTAGAGAGGCAGCATGAACCATTTCCTCCAGATACAGTACAGTCATTCAGTATCAGCCACAGTCCTAGTCTGTTCTGTTTTATTATGTATTTTAAAGCCCCAGATTTCCCAGTGAAGATAAAGTTCTGCATCCAGAGACGGGAGTTTGCCCTGCAGTGACATAAGGTTTTTCTGCTCTGTGCCAGCATTTGGTACTGGGCCCTTCCCAGAGAAGCCTGCCGAATAAAAGTTGACAATTCCTCACTAAACTTACTAACCACGCCTGTGTCACAAACAAGACTAACCCTTGGGGCAAGGCAGGATTATTGGGACTAATTGAACATTCAGAACTTGAAAGCAAAGATCCCTTTTTGTGCACAAAGAGGAAAACAAAGAGATTTACTCCTGCTGGAATTCTGTGCCACTGTGCAATGCAGAATTTGCGCAGAATTAATGTTCCACACATAATTTTATTTTTTCCTGCAGAATTTGTGATTTCTATGTGGAATAAAGAATGGCAACCCAGCTGTGCAGGGAACAGTAACGGCAGGCCAGCCATATTCCTGCTGTTAGCCCCACGGTGACTGGGACTCCCGATGATTATATTGTTGTTTTGACAAATAAAATATGCAGAAGTTTAAAATATTGCGTGCAGATTTTCTAATTTTTTGGTGCAGAATTCTCCCAGGAATAGACATTTGACAGTAGAAAACTTTTTTCAGAATACAGCCCTAAATCTGTGGTGTTAAGGGGTTGATACTACATTAATATTGGAAAAAACAGCACCAGAGTTTCACTGTCTGAAACGCATATTGCTGCAGGATGTACTCAGTGAGCCAACTGGTTGCTGTTCAGTGCTGCTCCCTTGGACAAGTGTCTTGGTGGATGTTAGCAGTGGACAGTGTATTAAGGTTGTTTCTCACCCCCAGGGCATGTGGTGGAGTGGTAGGAGTGGTGGACATACCCTACTTGGTTCTCGAGCCCACCCACAATAAACAGGACTTCGCAGATGCTAAAGAGTATCGACACTTGCTGAGGGCGATGGGGGACCACTTGGCTCAGTACTGGAAGGATGTTGCTATTGGTAATGAGGCTTCACAACTTTACAGGGATGGGGAGGGGAGTCTGGATGGCTGGTGGGACAGAGGGTTGAGCTTACCAGAGGAGGACTTGATATTCATGCTGCTGATAGTGACAGCATGATGAATGTTCTTGTTTTGTTTTTTGTGCAGCCCAGAGAGGTATAATCAAGTTTTGGGATGAATTTGGCTATTTATCAGCAAACTGGAACCAGCCTCCCTCCAGTGATCTGCGCTACAAACGCCGTCGAGCCATGGAGATCCCTACCACAATTCAGTGCGGTGCGTCTGACCAGGCAGAGGGAGCAGGGTGGCTGGGATTAGGAGATTGTTCTGCCATGTGGGCTAGGGAGTAGAAACTACTGTTCAGAGGACAAAGCAGCTCATGGACACGAGATGGTTTTTAGCATCTTAGTTTTTCTGCTACTTAGCTAAGCCAGTACAGCTCTGGGAGCTGGATTCTTTTCTGACTCATGCTTCATCAACCAGATTGTTAATTTGTAATCTCAATTCTAATTGCCAAATATCTTACTGGTGACGATGCACAAGCCAGACATTCAGAGCCCAGAGAGAAGTTTGGGGGCTGGCAGCTTATTTAAAAAAAAAAAAAGGAGACTTAACTGTAAGCTGGGAATACTGAGTAATCATCACTGGTGGCTGAACATAAAGTCTCACAGGGCCATTTTTACAGTCCCTCACTAGGACAGAACTGCACTTCAGTTCTCTCTCTCTCCCCCCCTCCCCCCCGCTCTCTTCCCCCCACCCCTCCCCACCCACGGCTGCATTTTCTAGGACTTTGGGGAGTGTTCCCTCCCTTTGGAACATTGAGTGGGAATAGCCTGAGTATCAAATGGGAACATCCCACACAATTGCCTTTCTTGCCACTAAAGGAGACCCTGGGCATTGATGGGTCTCAGCCTTCCTGATGATCATTTCCATTATTTTTCTGATTGTTTTGGTTTTGTTTTTTAAAAGAAAACAAAACTTTGCAACACAGTGGAGTGTCTTGGAGGGAGATGGAAGTTGGTCCCCGATGCCAAGTGCTCCAGCAGCTGGAAAGGGTTGTTGTCACCAGACTAATGCCCTGAGAAGTTGTGAGGGCCTCAACGGCCAAATGGGCTTGCTGTGGACCCAGAGAACAGGCTCATAATCTGTGTGCTGACTGTATCGTGTGTTCTGTGTAACAGATATGTGTTTGAAATGGCGGACCCTCCCATTCCAGCTGAGCTCCGTGGAGAAGGAATACCCGGATACTTGGGTGTGCTCCATGAACCCTGACCCTGAGCAGGATAGGTGAGTATGAGTGAGGGCCATGGTAGGGAATTGGCATTAATGTGCCTTCGCCGTGCTGTTTTGGGCACTTATAGACTCATAGACGTTAAGGTCAGAGGGGACCATTATGATCATCTAGTCTGACCTCCTGTACAACACAGGCCACAGAATCTCACCCACCCACTCCTGTACCAACCCCTAACCTATGTCTGAGTTATTGAAGTCTTCAAATCATGGTTTAAAGACCTCAAGGTGCAGAGAATCCTCCAGCAAGTGACCCATGCCCCATGCTGCAGAGGAAGGCGAAAGACCTCCAGGGTCTCTGCCAATCTGCCCTGGAGAAAAATTCCTTCCCACTTGACTGGGTAGGTGATGGCGTTCTGCCTACATCACAAGATTCTGACCACAATCCCAGTGAATCCGGATGTTTCTACTGAAAATGAGCCTCAGTGAACTAGTTAACAATAAGAAGAACAGGAGTACTTGTGGCACCTTAGAGACTAACAAATTTATTAGAGC